AAGTTGTGTGAATAAAAAAACAAATACTAACAAAGTTTTTTATTTTATATGGTCTAACGCGATTCAATTTTAAATTAGTTAAGGTCGAATGTGATTTCCACATACCAAAAGGTTTAGTATAAAAAAAATGGAGAGAGCATAAAAAGGCCTTGGTGTACCATCCATGGGATTGTCAACCAATTTGCAAAAACCATTCAAGTTAAGATTTAGAAATCTGTTAGAATGTGTCGCTGGATGCATAATGCTTAATAAATCTTTTAAAAACTGCTCTATCCTAAGAGATGACTTAAGCTGGAAAGGTAGATGTAACTTGGAAGATCTAAGCAAAAACTATAATTGACATTGATAAAAAATCGTTAGAATGAATTACTTCTTTAAAACCTGATTTGGTTCAAACTTAAATCCTTAGATAGATATTCTAAACTTGGCAACAATGGTTCATGATCAAATTTGTAAAGACAACTCAAGTTAAGATTAAGAAATTCATAAAAACTATTTCTTTGCAAGCTGATACGCTTCATTCAAACTAAAATCCTTGAATCCAGTAGGGAACAAGTAAATAGCATTAATGCTTTAACATACAAATGTAGGTACTTTTCTCATGCTTGCAACTTGCACAAACCCGAAGACAATTCAATTAATTCATTTATTCATGTCTCATTCCACACCTTGGATTCAAATTCTAACAGCATCCCTAGGCAAAAAAGTCCTTGCTCAATACAATGGAAGCAAAAAGGGGGGCAAAACAACAAAAAAGCCACCTTGAATTCTTTGACAGTGGTTTTATTGGGAAGCTCCAGTTGGTGGAAAGTTAACAAGTACATGGAGAGCATAGTAGACGCCGCTGGACCTTCAATTGGTTACTATCTTACGTTAGGCTCTTGAAACTTCTAATGAGACCTAAACTGTAACCTAATTCTTTGTCCCTTATTTTCTTTTCTTTCTTTTATTTTTTTACTTGGACAAAGGGAAATGTGAGGATGGGAAAAAACAAAAAAAAAAAAAAACAAGATAGCACGACAGACAGTGCTGTTGGGTTATTAATGTCAGGCTCTTGAAACTTTTAATGAGACCGAAACTGTGGATAAAGGGAAATTTGGAATGGGAAAAAACAAAGAAAAAACAAGATATAGTTCTGTTTATTTTTAGGTGAAGCATTTCTATCATCTACTTAAAGATTATTTACCGTTCTCCATAGAAATGAAGTAGTTTAAGGACTGCTCACGCCCATTGTTTTCTTGTTTTTACTTCCTATTATACACTCTACTTAATTTTAACTATGTTAGTTTCACCTGTTGAAATATCTTTAATGCTATAATGAAATGGGACATTTAAGCCATCATTTTCTTAATGTTACTTCTTTCTCCACATCCTTTTTCCATTCTTTTTCCTCTGTTTTCCATTCTTTTTCCTCTGGTCCTGTGTTATTAGAGGCACACCAAAGTTACACTTACACCATTGAAATTTCAATTTGTATTATTTTCTACAAGTTTCATCCAAAAACTCTAAAAATAGACCATTCCTTATTGACTAGACACAAGAATTAAATCAGTGAAATTAAGCCTTAATTCTATGAATGATAATAAGAGCTAATTACAAGTTTACACTGTAAGAAGATTCAGTACCAAAGTCACACTCACACCATTGAAATTTCCATTTGTATTATTTTTTACAAGTTTCACCCAACGACTCTCAGAAAAGTTGATTCCTTATTAACCAGAAACAAACTAAATCAGTAAAATCAAGACTTAACTCTATCAATGACCATAAGAGTCAATTACAAGTTTCCACGGTAAGAAGATTCAGCCATCAATCATCAGCATCCCCTTAACTGATTTTCAATGCTCTAAAATATTTCCTTAATTCTCTCCTTGATTTCATTGATTCATAAGTGTATGTACAGAGTTATGAGTAACATGTCACCAATTTCTCTTGAAATATGTTCACATTTTTCATTGTTAATTTGTAATGCTTTATTCAATCAAAATTAATTCACAACAATATTTGTTAAAACGAAATCTTATGATAAATACATGGAATCAAACCAAGTGGATGAATACAGATTCCCCTTGTCACACGAAATGAAAAGAGTTTCTCATAATTATAATCATTGTCACTAAAGATTATAATATTTCATTATAAGTAAACATTGCGTGTGAATCATTTTCCTCACTTAGTTGTGAACTGATAAAGGTCAACTCAAAAAAAATTTTTTTTTTTATTTGGTACAAAGAGAGTTAATTGTTGCAAAGTTTGAACCTTTGGGTTAAATGGTAAGGAGTGAAGTGAACCATGCTAGAGATATAGGTTTAAATTTCTCTATTGTTATTTAGGTACAAATGGTTTTAACAAGTCAAAGTAGCCACCTTCAAGCGGATATAGTTGCTCTTATCTAAATAAAATTAATGTGTCTTTATAAGAATTAGTCACAAGAGAGAAGTGATCCCTTCACCTAAATCCTAAATATTTTCTTTATATTTTCCCTATAATTCAAATTTCAAAAATAAAATTTTGTAAAAAACGAAAATATACTACCATATTTGATATTATTCAAAAGTTCAGGGGGTGACTGCCCTATAGCCTATACCATATCGGCTGTGTCATTGATTGACAGATTGATTGGAAAATTTTGCGAAGACTTTTCAAGTGAATGCACACACATGAACCCTCTAATAAGAAGATTTAAGCCGACAACATTAATTGACTGGAAAAGTTTGCATAGAAGAGAGATTTAGGAATACTCTAACAACTTTTTTGAGTTGATTAGCTCCATTCAAATTTAAATTCTTAAATTGAGTAGGGAACTTGTAAATAATTTTGATGCTTTCAGATAGGTATTTTTCTCATAGTTACAAATTGCACAGATTTATAAACACTTCAATAAATCATTTATTTATGTAATCATTTTTTACATTAAATTTAACTCTAAAAATTAAATTTAATAATAAATAAACGTCATTTTATAAACCAACTTGATATATATAGAATTAAGTCTGTAATTCTGTATTCAAACCTTCTCTTGCCATTTTGTTGCTACAATTCATGTTACTTCTTTTTCATTGGGCGGCTGCCCGCTGTCCTATATTGGTTCTGTCACTAATTGACAAATTGATTGGAAAAATTTGTGAAGACTTTTCAAGTGAATGCATGCACATGACATGGAAAGATTTGTGAAGACTTTTCAACTGAATGCATGCACATGACATGGAAAAATTTACAAAGACTTTTCGACTAAATGCATGCACATGACATGGAAAAATTTGCCAAGACTTTTCAACTGAATGCATGCACATGACATGGAAAAAATTTACGAAGACTTTTCAACTGAACGCATGCACATGACATGGAAAAATTTGCAAAGACTTTTCAACTGAATGCATGCACATGACATGGAAAAATTTACGAAGACTTTTCAACTGAATGCAGGCACATGCCAGGAAGAGACATAGCTCTCTACCCTCTAATAAAAAGACTTAAGCCAAGAACATTAATTGACTGGAAAAGTTTGCAAAGAAGAGAGATTTAGGAATACGTAACAACTACTTTTTTATGTTGATTAGCTCCATTTAAATTTAAATCCTTGAATTAAGTAGGGAACTCATAAATAGTATTGATGTTTTTAGATAGGTATTTTTCTTATAGTTGCAAATTACACATATTCATAGACATTTCAATAAATCATTTATTCATGTAATCATTCTATACATTAAATTTAACTCAAAATTAAATTTACTAATAAACAAACATCATTTTATAGACCAACTTGCCATTACTTAGGATACATATAAAATTAAGTCTGTAATTCTGTATTCACACCTTCTCTTGTCATTTTGTTGCTACAATTCATATTACTTCCTTTTCGCCGAGTGGCTGTCCCCTGTCCTATACTGGCTCTCTCACTGATTGATAGATTGATAGGAAAAATTTGTGAAGATTTTTTAAGTGAATGCATACACATGACAGGAAGAGACATAACCCCCTACCTTCTAATAAGAAGACTTGAGCCAACAACATTTAATTGACTGGAAAAGTTTGCAAAGAAGAGAGTTTTAGGAACACACAACCACTTTTTTGAGTTGATTAGCTTCATTCAAATTTAAATCCTTGAATCGAGTAGGGAACTCATAAATAGCACTAATGCTTCTAGATAGGTATTTTTTTTTCATAGTTGCAAATTGTCCAAATTTATACACTTCAATAAGTCATTTATCCATGTAATCATTATATACATTAAATTTGACTTTAAAAATTAGATTTACTAATAAACAAGCGTTGTTTTATAGTCCAATTTTCCATAACTTAGGATATATATATAGGATTACGATCTGTAATTCTGTATTCAGACCTTCTCTTATCATCTTGTTGCTACAATTCATGTTACTTCTTTTTTGTCATCATCTTTTAACATCGTACTTTTATTGTTATGATGATTAAGGTAAATGCTTCTCTTCAAGCTTTCCACAAAACCAGAAATTTAAATAGTTAATCTAATAATTAAAGGTGAATAAACATCATCATAAAATCACAAATATTTTACTTTTCACACATTAACCATCATTATCGTGTGGAAAGTAGAAAACTGTAAAACGCATTTTAGGGAGGGCCAATCCATCACCCAAATAACTCCCAACAACAACCAAGACACTTTCCTCTTTCATTTTCCTTTGAGATATATAATAGGATTTATCTAACATGTGCCCTAAGAATACAAATTAAGGATATAATTAATACAATTTTTTTATATTAATTAGTATAAAAAATAACAAAAACTGACATTAATTTTATTACTAACGCTACATGTATTGTTTTAATTGAACAATTGATTAAATAAATATCTAATTTTATTTTTTCAATGACAATTAATACTAAAAAAATGTTCTTAACTTGTGCACAAGGTAAAAAAACCCTCTATAATAATTCCAAAAAGGCGCGAGTACAATTTTCTACTCTTCACAGGTTAACATTCATTAAGGTGTGGAAAGTAGAAATTAGTAATTAAAATGCGTTAGTGAGAGGGCCAATCACCCAAATAACTTTCAAAAACAAGCAGGACACTTCCCTCTTTCTTTTTCTTTTTCTTTTTTCTCTATTTGCTTTTCCTTTCCTGAAATGTATTTGTAAAGCATTTCCTAAGAAAAGGTAAGTGATGAACATACTGATATGTTGACCACTAGGAGCTGATACTGGGAACAACTATTGCCTGCAATTATAAAAAAATTATGTCAATGAAAGAAAATAGGTATCAAAATATAAGTCGTTGTGCCCCCAAGGGGTGGGAAAGGTGGGAAATTTTTTGAATTTTTCTCTTGAATTGTTTACTTTGCTTGGCAAGTGTATGTCATTTACTTTTCTTGGATTGATGTTTGTTGCTCAACACCCAACAGCCCCGAAACTATATTTATCATGCGAACTACCGGTTAGCCAGAAACAAAAATTACAGCTAGAACTGCCAAGGTTTCATTGGTTGAAACCTCCTAAAAATTAGCCACTCTTCTCAATTGACCCAGTCAAATCGCTCTTTTGATTTAATCCCAACTCCCTCGAACCAAAGAAAGAAGAAGAGAGTTTAACTTCCAATAAAATATTACCTCCTCCAATCCTTAAGCCTTTAATTGCAAGAGTCCAAAAGAATACTTGTAGCTGCGCTTTCTCTTTGGGCCACTTCTTTTAGCTTAACAAAACACTTCTCTTCTAAATTCACCTTTAAAATAAATCGAGTTGGACTCTCCAGTCTTAATTAACAAAAATGCAGATCTAACTCAAAAAAAATAATCTGTATATCAACCCATGGTAATATCGAAAATAAACTCTAATATATTGGATCACAGCCAAATATTTTCTAATTATAAATTTGAAAAAATTATGCCTGTTCAATCTCCATGTAGACACGTGACATCATCTTAGAAAATTGTTAATTGTGGGGGTAAACAAACGTACTCATACCGGCAACAGTAGCTGCACCAATTTGCAAAGACTAATCAAGTCAACAATAAGAAATCTATAAGAACGTGTGGTGTATGGATAATGCTTAATAAAAGTGTTTTGTCCTACAAGGTGACTTAAACTGGAAAGGGTGGCATAACCTGAAAGATCTAAGCAATAAGTCTAACTGACATTGACATTGAAAGGAGACTAGTCACTCTAACGCACTCAGCTCGGCTACTACAATGACTGAATAAATTTACAAAGAATATCCAAGTCAAGATAAAGAAATTTGTAAGAATTACTTATTTAAAACAAATAGATATCTAAACCGGTAACAATGGCTCAAGATCAAATTTGCAAAGACTACTCAAGTTAAGATTAAGAAATTCATAAGAACTACTTCATTGTGAGCTGATTCACTTCATTCAAACTTAAATCCTTGAACCCAGTAGGGAACACGTAAACATTTGCGCTTCAAAATACAAATACCGGTACTTTTCCCATGGTTGCAACTTGCACAAACCTGAGTAAATTAAAAAAAGTTGTTAAGCAAATGATGAGTTTTAACTTGGTTCATTTCAGTTGGTATCAAAGAAGTTCCCCTTCATAGGTGTGAGACTATGCTAGAAGACTTCAATATGAGTCGTTGAAGGAGTTCCCCTTGGTCCTCAAAGAGTTTGGAGTGGACAATAATGGCATGGTTGGGCTTCGGCCTTTGGAATCTCACATTGCTTAGGGATCATTTCAACTATCTTAGTTTTACCTCATGAAATGTTAACTTTAGAAGTGAAATGGGTTATTTAAGCCATTATTTTCTCAATGTTGTTGGCCTAGATGATGACAACCCAAGAGGGGCGGATATCGGGTTTTCGAAAAACTTATTAGGCAAATTTTCAAGTCAAATCAACAAGCAAGTACAAACTTTGCAAACAATTGAATCTTATTAAAATAAATTGCAAAAACTAAAAGTTAAGGAAAAGAAAGTTCAAGCACAAAAATTTATAATTATTCGGACCTAACTTATGCTTAATCCACTTTTCATACCGTCTTTTTTAAGAGTTTGCTTCAAAATAAAAGCCTCTCCTTCCACTGTAAGAAGATTCAGTCATCATCATCCCCTTAATTGACTCTTAATGCTCTAAATGATTTTCTTAATTCTTTCCTTCATTTCATTG